TCGGTATGACAGCTTCTTTACATGCATTTTGACTGCTCTCAGCACCCGTACCGTAAGTGCACAATTACACGCGCAAACCAAAAAAAAAGTGCGGCTGGCTTGACCGTGCATTTTCAAAGCGCGGCTGGCTTGACCGCAGTAGCTGAGGCGGGCTGGACTCCGCTTTGTCCACGGTGAAAGCCGATCCGGCGATGCACAGCGCGATGTTGATGTATTTCCTCAGCAACCAGCATGGATCAGCTCCAGGCATGACGAAGCCATATCGTCCTCTTTTGGAAGGACAAAGAAAGTAGTTTGGCTTTCACAACGAAACACACAGCGTCTTCACGACATGGTGGCGGCAACAACAATACTACAGCGAGAATAAAAGCTACGCCTTCTTTCTTTGCATGAACATTTGGGCGGCGTTATGCAAATCTTCCCACATCGTGACGTAGACATGTGGGGGCGTGTTAGAACGAGCCGTTTTAGGTAGGTGTGGCTGACTCTTAACTTTTATAAAGAATATCTCTTTGGATTTGAGACTTTAGTCTTTGCAACTTTACAGATCTTCTTTATGCACCAAGAGCTTGTAACACTCCAAAGAGAAAGGAAAAATTGAAATCGCATCATATGACCCCTTTAAGTGAATGGGCTAGGCAATGCCTACTGATTTCTTTAATTAATTAAAAAAACTAATAATAATAATAATTATTAGGGACAGTGGTTAGTTCAGGAAATAATGGGGAGAAGAGGTGGAGACTCATGTCGTCTGTCTGAGCAAAACCACAAAATGTGGCCGCATGTGGACTCACTGCTAAGCCATGGTGCCAAAACTGATGTTATTCCCTTTCAAGATTACACACTTGGCTGAATAACTGGACATATTAAATCACAAGCTGACTGAGAGAGAAAGGAGCCAAAAAAAGGTGTATGCAATATGTTGGTGTCTATACAGTGTGAGCCAGACTGGGCCAAAGCTCCATAAAATACAAGGCAGTATGACTGATGTTATATTAAACATCATGAACAAAGATTTACATGTTCTCTAATAGGATGCACTTTGTAAGCATTTAATTTTTATAGGCAGTGAGAACTCTGTAAGCATACATACCTTATCTCCAAGATCGATCTTGGTGAAGCTGAATGTACTGAGGTGGGCATTGGCTTCTTTGATTGCTGGCTCGATTGTTTCTTTAAACAGCTTCTCCACAAACTGACACACGTAAGGCCACATCTGTTTCACTGTCTGAAAGGCAAAGTTCAAAAAAGTACCTGCTCAGTACTATGCAACTGAGTAAACTGAGGCACTTAAGGCATCTTCATTTCTTACTGTTACTGACTTAAGTATGATAAATAAGCTGCTCTGAAACTCGTTAGTTATCAGAAAAGTTTAACTGTTGTTTTATACCCTCTTGACTACATTTGCTAAAAACAAAATCTTCAATGCGTGTACAATACATTTTTCCACAACAAGGTTGTGTGACACAAGGTTCACAGTTTTTATTTAAAAGGCTGGAGGACATGTTGTAACTTGATTAAGTGTAAATACTCCAGGCATTTGGAAACTATTCTCCACGACAACAGAACAGGTAGCCATACTGGAAAGGCACAAACAGAAATATTAAAAAATAAATGTAGGATACCATGTCTGAGAGCAAAGAAATAACATCTAAAACCTTTGAAATAAGTTAGCGATGTAGATAGCCAAATAATGAAAAAGAGACAGAATTAATTATATCACATTTATGAGCTTTAAAATGCATGTGTGAAAGTTTAGGTTGTAATATTAGTATGATACAGTACTGTAAGAGTTTTTATCCTTCTCAGTTTTGTCATGTTTAAAAACATCAGCGATTCTGCAGTGTTTCATGTAAATAGTTTTGCATGATTTTGAATGTTGCAGACATACTTTGCAGAAGCATGAGGCCATTCAGGTACATAAATTACACCGCTGGGCAAAATGTTAATGAAATATTCAAATCAGGCATGTTTTTGAAGGCTGTGAGCCACTGAATGTATATGTACAATGAATATTTTAAAAAGCCACTGATTTTGACACAGAGGGTGAAAAATGGTTGCTACGTGTAGTGTAACATGAGCAAAGCACACTGGATTATAGCACCAGTGTACAACCAATGTTATCCTCCTCCTAACCCCCCACCCTCCACCCATAGAAAGCGAGAGAGTATCATATTCCAGAATATTGACTGCAGACACATGCATGTATATGAGAGTGCTGGATTATGATTACTTAGAAATTATTAAGGAACAGGCAATTACTATCCAATAATTCTCTCACCTTATTTAGCCACTCAACTCTCTCCACATCTGGATAATGAACCTGGTGGAGAGATAGACAATTATATCATATTAATAAAAGAGAGAGGGAACAAGACTGCTTCTGTAAATGTGCTGCAGTGTCTTTGAAGAAACCCCTCAGGCTATTACACACATGCACATTCTTGGTTAACAGATGGCATGAAAAATAATAATTCAATGTATGACAAAATAAAAAGACTTCCTTTCTAAACTTGTGAAACATTCTCTATACCAAAAAATGGCACCCATGTGTATTCTCTCCTTTTCTTTCACTTCAGTGGTATTATCATGTCTATATGTAGAGCAATAGGATCAGGGATGAGCATAGCTGCAGTCAAATCCCTGCATGCGTAAAATGCTTAGCCTGCATTTGTTTCATGCAGTGGGAGGGACCAAGGGTGACCGTGATTTCACCAAGTACAACATGTTCTTGGATCAACATCCTTGTTGATCCTGGAACAACATTCCAATCAACCAATCAGAATTGAGGGATACCTTTTCAGGAAATATCTGTTTTAGGCTTACGATCAGGGTTAGGTGCTTCTACATCCTTGTTAATCAGCTATCAATTCACACTGATTTTAGGAATAAATTAATTATGGGTAGGGTTAGGTTTAGGGGTAGGAATTGGGTTAAGTCTATATTTTTGGACAGTAATGTTGATCCAGGAACATGTCTTACTTGGCAAAATCACGGTGACCGGGAGCAAGATGACACACCAACACTGCACTTTTTTCATTTCTAAAGCAGTGCCATACAATAAAAGTCAATGACATCATTGGGGTCGAGTGGGTTTTTTTTGGACCCCACTGACTTTCATTATATGGACAATAAAGTTTCTTCAAAATATATTTTTCATGTGTTTTACAGAAAAATAAGTCACACAGGTTTGAAACTACATTCTCGCATAGCCAGATCTTCAGACTGACGGCAGAAGGTCTGGGAACCTTGGACGCTTTCAATGGCCAAGGACCGCCCAAGAGGCCCTATGGCTGACAGGTAAAGCAAGCAATCACGTTTCATTTTGTGCTGCGTCATGTTTAGGGGCGTGGAAATGTCTCCACAATAACAGACCGGTGTGCAAAACTCTTGGACGTATTTTAAACATTCTATGCTGCAAACTTTACATATTTCACATACTTTTATAAATCCAGCGTTTAGATGATCCTGATAAGTGCTCATTGTCACAGTTGTAAACATGACGGATTTCTTCTTTCATGAGGGGGTTTGGCGTCACGGCATCTTTGTTTCCAGGCGGAATGTTAAAGAACACGCCACGCATGTCTCCCGGAATTCTTGTATAATTTAAAGGGGTCATATGATGCGATTTCAATTTTTCCTTTCTCTTTGGAGTGCTACAAGCTCTTGGTGCATAAAGAAGATCTGTAAAGTTGCGAATACTAAAGTCTAAATTTTTTTTTCGCCCCCACATCTACATCACGATGTGGGAAGATTTGCATAATGCCGCCCAAATGTTCACGCAAAGAAAGAAGGCGTAACTTTTATTCTCGCTGTAGT